TGCTTGGCCTGCTGTGTTCATCCAGCTCTACAACTTATTATCTCACAATCCAATGCTCACTAGGCTCTGAGTGGTCCCATGTCTCAGGAAGGTGAGGTGTAGATCTCTGTGAAAGCAGCGGCACTTAAAACCAGCCCACAGCTCACTTCAAGCGAAGCTGCACAAACATATTTTGTTTGTTTTGCTCAAAAACAGCACTGTCTGAAGTTTTCTTCGTTCTCTCTGTCTCTCTCCTCATCCCCCTCCCCCCTCTCCCAGGGTGAGCCCGGAGATATTGGAAAGATGGGAAAGGTCGGAGATCAGGTAACCTTTCATTGTCCTATTCTCAACACAGAAGCAGAATTGTTGCTGAACTCTAGTTAGTCCGTAAATACAGTAATTTCTGGAAAAGCTCAGCAGGTCTGGCAGCATTTGAGGAGAGAAGTCAAGAGTTAAAGTTTCGAGTCGAGTTCTTTACGCAGAGGGTGGTGGGTGCCAGGAACGCGTTGCCAGCGGAGGTGGTAGAGGCGGGCACAATAGCGTCATTTAGGATATATCTAGACAAATACATGAATGGGCAGGGAGCAGAGGGATACAGATCCTTGGAAAATAGGCGATAGGTTTAGGTAGAGGATCTGGATCGGTGCAGGCTTGGAGGGCCGAAGGGCCTGTTCCTGTGCTGTAATTTTCTTTGTTCTTTGTTCTTTGACCCAGTTCCAAGGAAGGGTCACCGGACCTGAAACGTTAACTCTGTCTCACTCTCCACACACGCTGCCAGACCTGCTGAGCTTCTCCAGCAACTTCTGCTTTGTTTTCTGATTTACAGCACCCACAGCTTTCGGTTTTTATTTGTGAACAGTTTGTGTCTCGAAGGTGCTGAGTTTTGACTGCAGCACCACTTGAGTGTGTGGTCTGATAAAAATACGCGACATAACTGACAGGGGGCATTTACAAATCTTGGTGCACCAAAGGCGGTTTGTGAAGGGGCAAAATTCAATGTGTCAACCAAAGAAAAATGTCGATTTGGGGGGCAATATTTGATGTTAAAACTGAGGTTATTGTTTTTTTTGTGTATTATGCTTGGATCTCAAATCCATTCCAATGAGACAGAAACTGAAACAGTTTTCTCCTTTGGGACATACAGAAACCGAACTGCTCAATCCAGAATCAACTAAAAGGCAAGCTTGGGAAATTGGTCACTCTTGGCCAAGCTGGGCAGAAAGTCTTATTTCCAGACTGGTGTCTGGAGAGTTTGCACAAATGTCGTCATCATTGTGTGCTTTTTTTATGTGTGTGCTTTTCTTTCACCACACAGACTTCTGTAATTAAAGTTATTAAATATGTTTCAGAGGTTACCAACAGCATGAGATTGGGTACATAATTGGAAGCTGAGTAATCCTTTCGCTGTGCTGCTGTAACATGGCTTTGCGTGTTCCCCACACACATGATCCTGACATGGAGATATCTCGCCATTCCTCCATAGTCCCTGGAACTCCATCCCCTGACTGCACCGTGGGTGCCCCTACACCCCAAGGACCTGCAGCGGTTCAAGAAGGCAGCTAACCACGACCCTCCCAAGGGGCATTTAGGAGTGGGCAATGCCCTGACACAAGCATCACAAATTTAAAAATGGTTTCAGTTTACGAACATGTGGCTCAGTGGTTAGCGCTGCTGCCTCCCAGCACCAGGGACCCAGGTTTGATTCCAGCCTCGGGCGACTGTCTGTGTGGAGTTTTCACATTCTCCCGGTGTCTGCGTGGGTTTCCTCCGGGTGCTTCAGTTTCCTCCCACAGTCCAAAGATGTGCAGGTTAGGGTGGATTGGCTGTGCTAAATTGCCTGTAGTGTCCAAGGATGTGCAGGCTGAGTGGGTTGGGTGGAGTGGCCATGGGAAATTGTGTCCAGGGATGTATAGTTTATGTGGATTAGCCATAGGAAATGCAGGGTTACAGGGATAACTGGGTCAAGGGTGGCACAGTGGCTCAGTGGTTAGCACTACTGCCTCACAGCACCAGGGACCCGGGTTCGCTTCCACCCTCTGGTGACTGTCTGTGTGGAGTTTGCACATTCTCCCCGTGTCTGTGTGGGTTTCCTCCAGGTGCTCCCGTTTCCTCCCACAGTCCAAAGATGTGCAGATTAGGTGGATTGGCCATGCTAAATTGCCCCATAGTGTTCAGGGATGTGTAGATTAGGTGGGTTATAGGGGGATGGGTCTGGGTGGGATGCTCTGAGGGTCAGTGTTGGGCCGAAGGGCCTGTTTCCACGCTGTAGGGGTTCTGTGGGTGGGATGCCCTTCATAGGGTTGTTGCAGACTTGATGGGCTGATGGCATTTTGCCACACTGTAGGGATTCTATGATCCTCCGATCATTAGCACTACACAGAGGGGCATCCTGTTAAGATGAAGAGGTCTAAGGCTGAGGTCTGGCATTTATATGGGGGAGAGTCTAAGGGGGAATCAATCATTCCACGGCCAATGATGGGTTCTTTAGTTTTCCTACAATCACAGGTACCTGGCAACCAGTTCCCTGCTCACTACCTAAAGCAAGCATCACTTGCCTGTGGGTCTCGGCTGGAATGTGCCAGAGCTGCCTCAGAAACATGAGCTTTAATTTGTTAAGTTACAGCATCACTGCAGTCAGGGTTCAAGCATTTAAAAAAGAATGAACACATTGTGGATCAGGCTGCACTGTGCTCATGTCTTGGACTAGGAATCCAGAACCCCAGGCTTATCACTCTGGGAACAATCTGGATTCAGATCTCACCCTAGCAGATGTGTTGGAAGGTGGTTTTGCGTTTATAAACTGTGAAGATTTGCAGTTTTTGTTTTCCTTTATTCATTAATGGAACGAGGGCATCGCTGGCTAGGGCAGCATTTATTGCCCATCCCTAATTGCCCAGAGGGCAGTTAAGGATCAAACATATTGCTGTGGGTCTGGAGAACATTTAGGCCAGACCAGCAGTTTCCTTCCCTAAAGGACATTAGTGAACCAGATGGGTTTTTCCCAACAATCGGCAATGGACTCGTGGTCATCATTAGATTCTTAATTCCAGATATTTTACTGAATTCAAATTCCACCATCTGCTGTGGCGGGATTGGAACCCGGGTCCCCAGAACAATACCTGGGTCTCTGGATTAACAGTCCAGCAATAATACCACTAGGCCATTACCTCCCCTGTGGTAAATTGAAAGAGTAGGGGGAGAGTAACTAATTGGGTTGTCATTGCAGACTTGATGGGCCGTAGGGCCCCCGTTTTTTTATTCTTTCCTGAAATGTGAGCATTGCTTATTTCCCATCCCGAGTTGCCCTTGATAAGGTGAACATGAGTCACCACCTTGAACTACTGCAATCCATGTGCAGTTGGTAGGCACACAGTGCCATTAGAAAGGGATTTCCAGGATTTTGACTCTGACAGATGGCGATATATTTCCAAGTCAGGATGATGTGTGCATTTTGTCGGTGCTGGTGGTTCCCATGTATCTGCTGCCCTTGTCCTTCCCAGGCAGTAGAAGCCCCAGTTTTGGAATGTGCTGTTGCAGGAGCCTTGATGCAATATGCCCTGCAGATGGTACGCATTGTTTGTACTTATCGAGTGTCGCTGATGGCAGAGTGAGTACTGATGGTGATAGATGAAGTGCCAGTCATATCTCCACTGGATGGTGTGAAACTTCTTGAGTGTTGTCGGGGCTGCACCCATCCAGGTAAGTGGGGAGTATTCCATCACACTCCCGACTTGTGCCCTGTAGATGGTGGGCATGCCTATGGTATAAGCTGAGGTGAGGGATCCCAATGGGAACTGCAGTTCCGATCCATTGGACGGATGCCAACCCTACCTGAAAAACCTCTGAAACGGGCAACAGTGTAGGAGAGGAACTTCTAGTGTTGTAGGATTCTGAATCCTCCTGAAGAGAAACATCTGTGTAATGTGAGGACAGCATTTTGTTCCCAGGGATGTATATGGGTTGGGAATGGTTTTTTCAGCAGTCTGAAATCCCACTGTCCCTCGTTTCCCGGGTGAATATCGATAAGAAAGGCATGAAAGCCACTGGAAACAAAATCTCGGGAAGGTGGTAATGAAATCACCCATGATTAGCGATTAGTTAATGATGTGTGAATAACAGTTGGCCTCCCAAAGAAAACTCCTTGCCTTTTTTTCAAACCATCTTGGGTGATAATCAGAGATTGAATGGAACAAGGAAATTGCACTCATCAGCTGTCTTTGTCATCACAGTCAGCCTTGAATCATCTTGGCCAAGTCTTCAGCCTGTGTTCTTCCATAATATCCCAGGGGAATTTTCCGTTTTGCTGTCCTTACTCTTGTGTAATCCATGGAAAGACTTTTCCAGTCCACTTACTCAGAGATCCCGTCGTTAGTCTACCTTATCTGTGGAATTCTTTACTGCAGAGGGCTGTTCAAGGCTAGGTCATTAAATATGTCAAGGCTGAGATAGACAGATTTTAAATCAGCAAGGAAAGGGAATGAATGAGATGATCGCACAGAAACGTATGGAATTATTGTACGCATTCACAGGGGAGATACTGAGAAAAGGCGTCCCCCCGAGAACATGGGGTCACAGTATCAGAATAAGGGGTTAGCTATAGGGGACGAATGGTGGCTCAGTGGTTAGCACTTCACAGCTACAAGGACCTGGCTTTGGTTCCACACTTGGGCAACTGTCTGTGAGGAGTTTGCACATTCTTCCCGTGTCTGCGTGGGTTTCTTCCGGGTGCTCCGGTTTCCTCCCCCAGCCCAAAGATGTGCAGGTTAGGTGGGTTGGCCTTGGGAAATATGGGATTACGGGGAACTGGTGGGCCTAGGTCGGATGCTTCTCAGAGGGTCGGTGTGGACTTGATGGGCTGAATGGCCTGCTTCCGCACTGTAAGCATCTTGTGTTATTTAGGATGGGACGAGGAGAAATATCTTCACTCAGAAGGTTGGGAATCTTTGGAATTCTGCCTGCAGGAGAGATGGGGCTGTTCAATCATTGAGCGTATTCAAGGTAAAGATTGATGAAGGTTTGCTTGTTAGGAGACAGGGGGATATTTTGGGAATGCGATTAGAAATTAGCCATAATTTTATTGAACTAGTGGGCAGCTTTAAAGAGTCCAATGATCAAATCCTGCCCCTGCCTGTTACATTCTTGTATTCTTGAAAACTGCTCATTTGGAAAACGGTACAAGGACTGCTTTGATCGAATCTCTGTATAGAGGGGTCAAACGTTTTATTCCCAGTTGTTCCAACTTTTCCATTTGTTTTCCTTTACAAGGGAGAGCCCGGATTCATGGGACCGATTGGAGAACCCGGGAAAGTTGGAGAAAAGGTACGTCAAATTGCAACCAACACTTTGTGTTTAAAGCACGTTATTGGAGGATAATTAAGGGTCTCAGTGAGACTTGAACATCTATGTGTCCTGAAGGATCTTTTTGAGTGAAGGTGGTAGAACACAGTTCAGTCCAATCTGGAGTGGCCACAGTCTAAAACCAGTCAAGTAATTTTTGTTTTTGATTTGATTTGATTTATTATTGTCACATGTATCTAGGTAGAGTGAAAAGTTTTGTGTTGCATGCAGTGCAGGCAGATCACACCATCCAAAGTGCATTAGGGTAATAGAACAGAGTGATAATATATGCTGCAGAGAAGGTGCACAAACAGTGAGGTCGACACTCTTCGAGAGACAGACAGTCACTCCTGTCCCTCTACCTGCCTGAAGTAAAATGTTCGAGCAATTCTTACGACTTTTCAAAGTTTCATCCTCAACCCCGAGGTGACTCAGCCACTGAGCAACTGGTACAGGGTGATTCGGTAAATCTATCAGTGATAGCTGCCAGAGGAGACTCTGTGTTTGGAGAACGGGGGAGGAAGGATCACGGTTAGATATGAGTTTGCAGCATTACCCTGACAGAAATTGAGAGAGGTTATTCCGGCATGTTAGTGTAAAAGATGTAGCCCCTGCTATAGGGAGGATGGTGTGAAACTTGAAAGGGTTCAGAAAAGATTTACAAGGATGTCGCCGGGATTGGAGAGTTTGAGTTGAATAGGCTGGGGCTATTTCCCCTGGAGCATCGGAGGATGAGGGGTCACCTTACAGAGGTTTATAAAATCAAGAGGGGCAGGAATAGGATGATTGGCCAAGGTCTTTTCCCCAGGGTGGGGGAGTCCAAAACTAGAGGGGCATAGATTTAACGTGAGAGGGGAAAGATTTAAAAGAAACCTAAGGGGCAACTTTTTCACGCAGAGGGTCGTGTGTGGATGGAATGAGCTGCCAGAAGAAGTGGTGGAAGCTGGTACGATGACAACATTTAAAAGGCATCTGGATGGGTACATGAATAAGGAAGGGTTTAGAAGGATAGGGGCCAAATGCTGGCAATTGGGACTAGATTAATTTAGGATATCTGGTCAGCGTGGACAAGTTGGACCGAAAGGTCTGTTTCTGTGCTGTACATCTCTATGACTGTATAACTGCAGGACAGATAGAAACAGACTCAGTGCTCACCAGAATGAGGAACTAACAGTGATAAGTGAAGTTAAAGGAAACCCAATGAATGGGCCCATTATAAGGATTGTCATTACAGAATGTTACACAGTAAAATAATGAGGGGCAGGGCCAGGAAGAAACTTTCCCCCTTAGTGAAGGGATCAGTGACTAAGGGGCGTAAATTTAAGGGAAGGGGCAGCAGATTTACGGGGGATATGAGGAAGACCTTTTTCACCCAGACAGTGGCAGAGACAGAAACTCTTGTCCCATCAAAGAAGTATTTAGATGTACACATGTGATGCCAAGGCATACGGGGCTATGGAAACTGGGTTTAGAATGGTTAGGTGGTTTTTTTTGATGGGCCACAGGGCCTCTTTCTGTGCTGTAGACCCCCATAACTCTAGCTCGGGCACAGGTTTGATCTCTCAGCCCAACAGATCCGTGCTAATGTTTCCACACCTATCCATCCTCCTGTCCCTCGACATCCAACTCCATCAACATATCCTTCTGTTCCTTTCTCCCTGAAGTGTCCATCTCACCTCTGCGTTTGGAAATAGTTAATACTGAGCTCTCTCAAGTAGCATTCATCAGCGGCTTCAGTCATTTCTCCCAGCGTCAGAGGTAACTCGTTGGGCGTCACTCATGTCTGAGTCAGAAGGTATTGTGCTTGACCCCCAGAGATTTGAGCATAGTCATCTCGATTGATGAAACCCATCGCGATGATGAGGGAGTGTTACACTGTTTGTGGTGCTTACTAGCGATACAGCATGTCTCTCCCTGCAAACACCCTACCAGGCCCTGTGGAGCTTGGCGACTGAGAGTTCCCTTGGTAACAGGCAATGGCCTGCCCAGCTGGAACTCATCACCTGTGCCCTTTAAGCAGAGCCAGGGAGCCAGACACTCTTGTGGCACGGTGGTATATCCACACCTGTGAATCAAGAGGCCTGGGTTCAAATCCCACGTGCTCTAGATGTGCGTACTAAAACATCAGAGCAGGTTGATTTTAGCTATAAAAGGGCCCCTGTGGCACGGTGGTCATGTCCCTACCCCTGAGCCAAGAGACCTGGATTCGAGTCCCACCTGCTGCAGAGGTGTGTCATACCATCTCTTATCAGGATGATTAGGAAATTAGGTTAAATGTACAAAATGCAGACACAGAGAGGGTTCTAATGGTGCAGTGGAAGTATCCCTACCTCTGAATTGGGAGGCATGTGTTCAATTCCCACCTTTTCTAGACGTGAATGATAACATTTCTGAACAGGTTGTTTAGGAAAATATATAAAGCAGACCCTCTGACAGCATTTTGATGTAGTCCTTTCCCACTCTCCCTACTCCCCAACCCCCCAAAGTTGATGGTTTGTATTGGCCATAATGCGCTTTGTGTGTAAATTTCTAATTGGTTCCATGGGTGATTTACTAATAGTGGTTAATAGTTCAAAGAAAAAGTCATGGTAATTGGGTGGTGGAAAAGTTGTTTGGTTGTGTGTGATAACACTTCCAAATATAGAAAGAAAATGCAGACCCATCAAATGCAGTGGTAATGTCCCTCTGTCTGAATCAGGAGGCCCAGGTTCAAATCCTACCGCCCCAGAGGTTTGCTGTAACATCTCTGAGCAGGTCGATTAGGAAAAATATACAAAAATAAAATAAACTCAATCTCCCCACCCCCTGACCAGAGCACAGCTCCCCAACCACCCTCCCCCACCCCAGGCAAAAGCAGCCCCATACCCCCAACTTGAACCCCAATGACCCTGACCCCTGGCCTGAGCACCATGACCCTGACCCCTGACCTGAGCATCATGGCTCCTGACCTGAACACCGTGACCCGCAACCTCTGACCTGAGCAGAGTGTTACCGACCCCTGACCTAGGCAGATTGTCCCTGACCTGAGCAGAGTGCTCTACCCCCTCCAAGCCAAGGTCAGTGCCCCTGGTAATTGGAACCTGCTTAGACCAAACATAGAACTGAGGACAATCGGGGAAAACCCACCTCGTCAGCCTCTGTCACTTTGTAGAAACACTTGTAGCTCGTATTAGAATGTAGATAGTCTCTTGACATTCTTAATAAATGTTCCAATTCTGTATTTGGATGGAGACATCTAAGAGCGCAATGTGCCAAAGAAAAGTGTGATTTATTTTATTGTATTTTCTGTAATGTCAGACTTGAACTGTCTTGTAATGTACTTACAAATAATTTATGAACGAGGTGTATCTTTGCAAGTAAAATAACAGAGGGAACCATTGCTCCCCCTCTTCCAAGCGTTAGCTGGTGTTTGAATAGTTTTGTGGTGTGTTTTGTGGAGCTTGCACTGAATCCCATTTCTTTGTGTTTCTGCAGGGTGACCGTGGTGAAACTGGTCCTCCAGGACAACCAGGAGTTAAGGGGGCAATGGTAAGGGAGTAACTCCGTCTCACCGGCCCTCCCTTCTTTACCTCTCTCTTTCCCAAAGTCACGCTCTGACTGTAACCCACCCAAGGTACCCTCCTCCTTCTCTGAGAGCAGTTTCTGTCTACGACGTAGCTTTGGTTCTTGAGTTGTCTGCCCAGTCAATGGTCTCATGTATGGCACTGTGACGGTTAGGATAAGGATACAGGTCCACCCCTCTCTGATGGAGGCACTGAACTCTGTGTTAGCTGCAATGTGCTCTAGACCTGCTATCCAGCTAACTGAGCTGGATATAGCATTTACACCATGGACAACATCATAGTTGCCTTGTCGCTTTCACAGGATAAACAATGCACAGCCTATTTACTCCTACCCATAGACAATGGGAAATGCACCATTGAATATTCAGGCTTCTGAACAGACCTAACAATGACTGGCCCTTCTCCTATTTTTGCTTTCAATTTCAACAATCAAAACTTAATTTGAACCGGATTTTTTTTTGGGAGATGGCTTTAAGCAAGGAATAGATCTGACCAGCGCCTGCAGCCTAAGAACAGAAGATTCCACACTGTTGGATCTATCCAGTGTATGCCTAATCCGAGTCTGACAGTCCCCAGAACTCTATCCGTCACTCCCCCTTTGAAGCAAATGGGTCACCTGGAGTAAAATATAGACATGAGCCAGCTTTTCTGGAGAGGAAAAAGTGGAAAATACTACGAATAAGAAAAATTATAGTGCGATAGCTTCACATTCAGTGCTGTACTTGTGTAAATATTGTCGCAGTTATTATACACTATGCTACACTTGGGGGTCTTCCGGTACTGAGGTATTAGTCACACTGCATTAACTATAAGCCACATTCGCCAATATATTTCATTAGTATTTTGTAAACTTGTAAAGACAGTAATCTGGGACAAATTTAATAGGCAAATGGACAAAGTATGGGCTAATGAGTGGCCAGCTAAAATAATATCATGTTTGACTAACTTTGTTGGGGTCTATGATAGAGTAATGAAGTGGATTGGTGAGGATAGTTGCGTGGATGTTACATACATGAACTTCTGAATAGTGTTCGATAAAGTGCAACACAGCAGACTTGTAAATGGAGTTAAATCCAGTGGGATTAAACGGGCAATGGCTGATTTTGGCTAAAAGTCTGGATGCTCGTTGTCAGTCTTGTAGGAGGTGTACAGTACTGTTTTACAGGAGGCACTGTAAGGACCCACTCCGCTTCCTGATATTTTTAAAGATTGGATTTTTGGGATGAAATTTCAGAATTTACAGGTTGTACAAAACTTGGAAACACAGTAAACGGCGAGGAGTATAACACGCTTAAGGTGGGGTGGGGAGTTGCCATAGACAAGACTGGTGAAATGCTATCTGGTGGTGTGAACTGTCAAATGGTAGCTCTCAGTAAGAAGAATGAGGAGATGCAATCTGAAATAAACAGGAAAACGTTAAAGGAACGCACAAAGGCAGACACCCGAGGGAATAGATAAATAACTCTTTGAAGATGGTCGGACTGTTAATGTTGTTGTCAAATGTATTGTTAGGGTTAAGGGTAAGCAGGTGGGGACCATTCATTCAGTATCTTGAACACAAATAAAAAGGGACTGCTGGGACAGTTGGTAGGTAAAATAAGACCATAAGGTATAGCAGCAGAGTTAGGCCATTTGGCCCATGGAGTCTGCTCCATCATTCGATCGTGGATGATGTGTTTCTCAACCCCATTCTCCAGCCTTCTATCCGTAACCCTTGATCCACTTATTAATCAAGAACCTGTCTCTGTCTTAAATACACTCAATGACTTGGCCTCCACAGTTTTGTGCGACAATGAGTTCTACAGGTTCACCACTCTCTGGCTGAAGAAATTCCTCCTCAACTCAGTTCTAAAGATCCGTCCCTTCACTCTGCGGATGTGTCCTCGTGTCTCCAACTAGTGGAAGTATCTTCTCCACATCCACTCTATCCAGGCCTCTCAGTATTCTGTAAGTTTCAATCAGATCCCCCCTCATCCTGTTGAGTGCAGACCCAATCACTCCTCATATGACATGCCCCCTTCATCCCCCGGATCATTCTTGTAAACCTCCTCTTGACCCCCTCCAATGTCAGCACATCTTTCCTCAGATACAATATTCCAAATGTGGTCTGACCAGAGCTATAGGTGGCAGAGATATGTGACGCTGTATTCTGTGAATAAGCTAACCACCGAGAAACGGATATGTAGGTTCAGTCTTTCCTCTCGGCTGACAACAGCAAGTCAGTATGAGTTAGGTAGCATGTGGAATCCTTGATAACAAGCTGTAGAGCTGGATGAACACAGCAGGCCAAGCAGCATCATAGGAGCAGGAAGGCTGACATTTCGGGCCTAGACCCTTCATCAGAAATTCATCATGTGGAATCCTTGACTTTATTATTGCAGAAGTAGACCACAAAAGCTATGGAAGGCAGCAATGCTGAACCTTTCTGAAGCACTGGATCAGCCTGGGTGTCACACCTTGGCGAAGTCATGTAGAGGTTTATCCTGGGCCAAGGGCTTTCAGGTAAACAGTGAGACTGGAGAAGGTGGAATTGTTTTTGTCAGAGCAGAGAAGTTGAAGAGGAGACCTGACATAAGAACTAGGAGCAGGAGTAGGCCATTCAGCCCCTCGAGCCTGCTCTACCATTTGATACGATTGTGGCTGATCTCATCTTGGTGTCCACGGCACTTTCCTGCCCACCTTCCATAACTCATCAACCCGTTGCTAATGAATAGGTTGGCAGGTGATGGCCTAGTGGTTTTATCACTGGACTGTTAATCCTGAGCTAAAGCAAAGTTGCTGGAAAAGCTCAGCAGGTCTGGCAGCATCTGTGAAGGAGA